GTTTTTTTCCCCTAATGTTATTCTAAAAAGAGGTCAAATTTTGGTTTCCTAGTAAAAGTAAATTTTATTTATTAGACATTCATAGTGAGATGACTATATTTATTTATACCCAAAGAATGTAACCATTTAAGAATAATTTTTGGACATGTTATATTTTCTTACAGAAATAGTAGAAGAAAGTTTTGCTTAACTTTTTTTTTTTGTTTAATAGGAGCCAGCATTCGAACATTCACTCCATTTTATTTTCTGGTGGAGCCAGTGGATACACTCTCTGTTAGAGGCTCTTCTGTTATATTAAACTGTTCAGCATATTCTGAGCCTTCTCCAAAAATTGAATGGAAAAAAGATGGAACTTTTTTAAATTTAGTATCAGATGATCGACGCCAGCTTCTCCCAGATGGATCTTTATTTATCAGCAATGTGGTGCATTCCAAACACAATAAACCTGATGAAGGTTATTATCAGTGTGTGGCCACAGTTGAGAGTCTTGGAACTATTGTCAGCAGAACAGCCAAGCTCACAGTAGCAGGTAAGTTTTGTCAAGTGATTTATTTGCATTTTAAAATTTTTATTAATATAAAGAGTTAATCTTGATAAAACCAATATTATTCTGGAGTTTTCATTAAATTGGCAACAACAGACATACTCATTTAACAGATATTAATTGTGCATGTACTGTGTGTATGGGGACTATGCGAGGGCCTGCTCAGCACTGTAGGGAATAGACTGTAGCACTTTTCCACTTGTCTGATGGCTTAAAGTTGCTAACAAGTACTGAGCAGTTCTTTTTTTCCTTTTAACTTGGAAATGGCAGAGGAAGTTGAATAGGAAAATCGAATCACTTTGATGACTTTTATTCGACTCAGTATAACCATTTAGTATGGTTTTTGTAAAACTTCAAAAAGCCAGAATCCTGGTTCCTTTGTATCTTAATAACCAAGGAAATGACATTTAATTGGATTATTTTAAAATCTATAGAGTGTGTCTGTGTGTGTAGTCAGGTGGAGAGCAGAAAGTTATAAAAAGAGGAACATTTACTCCATTTCAGGGTATTATTTTAAGGATGATGTAAAGTATATGAAGAATTAAGGATCTAGAAGAGTAGATGTGGTTCCTTAAATAAGTCATGCCTGTTTTGTGGTAGACCAGCATTCCTCAGTTAGTGTTTCTGTACTTGAGAACCAGATGAAATAGTTTTGAAGGGTTATATTGTACAAAACAGTGTTATCTTTAAATCCTATATTTATTCTCACTTTGGTGAAATGCTCACATGTGAGATGAAATCTCACCGAGACAGTAGCCTCCCATCTCGTTCTCACTGCAGGGTTATGGCTTCACATCTCATGCTCACCTTAGGGGATATTTGCTTATTCATTCAGAGCACGATGGCTGTTTTTGTCTCTGGGGCCAAATACTCAAATTTGAATTTGGATATAATATAAAACCACTGTAATTATTCTATAACTGCAGATTGAAGATGGAAAAATAAAAGGAGGAAAAAAAACCTGATTCTTTTGGCAATTTTTCTTTTCTCTGTTTTCTTTTTCTTTCTTCCTTTTTAAAAACTCTATTTGCCAGGTTTTTCCCCAACATACTTGATAAATTAATTAGTATAAAGACTGCCTCTACCAATGTCATTTAGGTCATGTTATGTTTATCATTTATGTTCTTAAGTATTTCTTACTTGGGCTTTATTTGTGACTCCTTCCTCTCAGCTTTCCCCCACATCCCATCACCAAATCCAGTGATTTCTGCTTCCTAATTTCCCTTTACTTCATCCCATTCCCTGGGGCTACCCCTTGTCTTCCCTCACCATAACCTTGTAACTATTTATCTGCCACCGTACTCTTCCCCTCTTCCAATCCAGTCTGTACACTGTGGTTAGAGCATTCTTTCTTTCAGTGGTTTTCCAGTAACACTGTCAAGTTAGTATCTACACTCTTTAGTAACAGGCCTCCCGATTCCTTTTCTGAGCTACCCTGACTTCTCCAGGCTCATTTCTTAACATTTCACCCTGCCTCTGCCTCTGTCACCACCACCATCACCACCCTTATCACCCTCACCACAGTGTAAGCACTGGTAGTACTGGGGTGTTTTGAGTTCCTTTCATTTGTTCTTTGCCTTCTGCAATTTTTCATGACTTCCCTACTGCATGTTCTTTCCACCACCTTTTGCTCTCTTCCCCTCTACTAGGTTTGTCCATCTTTCCTCTTAGCTTTCCTGTCCTTCAGGAAGCATTTTTGGACCCACCATCTAAGTAAGCAAGCAGTTTTAATACAAGGTGATACTGCAGACAGGATTCTATAGGAGAGTTGTTTAACCTGCTCTTGGCCTGGGTAGCAGGAAGAAATAGCATCTAAACTAAGGGGTAAATAGTTCTTTTTAATAGTTGCATAGTTTCCATCGTATCGATGTACACATTGTGATTTATTTAAAGATTCCTTTTTTTGTTAAACAGTTATGTGGATTAAAATTGTTGGATGGTAAAGGTAGTACTTTAGTGAACTACCTTTTGCAAATCTTTATTTCTGTAGAATAGGTTCTTAGAATTGGGATTGCTGATTCATAGGGTATACTTGTGTGTATGTGTAATTTAAAAGGATACTATACTAGTTTGTCAGTTCTTGAAAATGTTACCTCTAAAATTACCGTATGACTTAGCAATTCCACTCCTAGGTATCTGCCCAAGAGAAATGAAAAGATATGTCCACACAACAGTTTGTATATGAATGTTAATAGCATTATTCATAATAGCCCAAAATGGGAACAACCTAAATGTCCATCAAGTGTTGAATGAATAACCAATATATGGTATATTCATATGATGGAATATTATTTGGCAATAAAAAAGATCAAGTCCTCGTCTATATGACGACATGAATGAGCTGCAGAAATATTAAGCCAAGTTAAAGAAGCCAGTCACAAAGGACCACATACTGTATCATCTCATATGTATGAAATGTCCAGAATAGGCCAATCCATAGAGACAGAAGATAGATTAGTGGTTTTCTAGGAGTAAGGACTGGGTGTGGGGGGTGAAGGGGATGAGAGAATGAGGGGCAGAGAGGGGATTAGGTATGGAGTGAGGAATGCCTTTGACTGAGTACAAGGTGTCTTTTGGGAATGATGAAAACATAATGGTTGCACAATTCTGTTAATACACTGAAAAATCATTGAATTTTTACTTTAAATGGTGA